TCCTCTTCTTTGTTTGGGGTTTGGAGGTGCCCAGATGAGGCCCAGCTGTGAAGCAGTGCAAGCTGCTGTTGGGCTTTGGGCCTTCTCTTGGAAGTTCTGGGTCTATCTGGCCCAGCTGCAGTTTGTTAGGTAATTTTCAGATTGTAAAGGGCCAGGCCTTTCATATGCAAAAGCCTCTGTGCACAGCTTGGGTGGGGCAGGGTCTCCGGGAATCGACAGGGCGGAGCAAACCACTGTGGCTGATCCTCAGTCCTGCCCTAAGGGGCCCTGAGTCTCAGTTTCCCATGGTAATGGCTGCAAGCACCTCTGAGAGAAAGCCACCCTTGAGTTCCGCCCGCTGCCAGACAGTCCAGTTTCTCCCCGTATGAGTCTGGGTCCCCAGAGACTCACCCAGAACTGGAGTTCAGAGCAGTCGGGAGCTTGAGACTCCCTCCGGATTGGAAAAAACAAGCGTGTCCTCAGTTGCCAGCCCCTTTCCGCGTGCGCCTCCATACCTCTGTACTTTACTTCTGCACCTCCTCTGAGTCTCAGTGTGCTTTTCTCTTTCCTTCTAGTTGCACAAATTCCACTCAGCCAGCCTTCCTGTGGTTCTGGATGGTGTCCGTTTTGTCTTTTAGTTGTATTTTTGAAGTGGTTGTGCGAGGCAGGAATTTCCGGTGTTTTCCTATGCCACCATCTTCTGTCAAGTGTTTAGAATAGTATCTGGCACATAGGAAATCCCGTTTAAGTGTTAGCTATTGTTATTATTAGAACTAGGATAATTCTTTTCCTGGAGTGTCAGCAGCTTAAGGACCATGAACATAGCACCAAGGTCTTTAAAAATGTACTTACTTTTGGGAAATTTCCCTTAATTTGTAGGCATTCTCCCAAAGAGAAACTGACTTTGATTCTCAAAGGGGAACATTATTTCTGATTTTTTTTTCTTTCTGAAATGGGGCATTTCTTCCGCAAGAGGAGGGAGGGCAGCCAAGGGGAGCTCTGGTCTCTCTCCTGTGTGTGTGGCTGGGGTGACTGGGTCAGCGGGGCCTTCCAGAGCGGGGAAGAGGCAGCTGGGAGAGTGGCCATGGTGTGACCCTGAGCACCCTCCCTACAGGCCCCAGGGAACAGGACAGCCTGTTTGTCTGAGGCCTGATTCCTTCCCCAGGTACCTCATGGCAGGGCCAGACTCCAGCAGCGAGGACGAGGGCGGCCCTCACGGCGGCGGCAGCGGGGATGAAGCCCCACAGCTTCCCCAAAAGGTCCGCTGTCCCCTGACCAGCAGTGGGAGGGTGTACTGGGAGGAGGATATGGGTCTGTTGTAGCCCCCAAAGTCTACTCCTGCCTCCTGTGGCTCACCTCCCCACATTCTCCCACCCACCCTGCCCCTTGCATGCTCACTCCCCACTCCCCCTCCTCAGACCAAAACCAAGGCCCCTCAGGCAGCGGGATCCAGCTCACCCCAGACAGCCTCCACTCCAGAAGAGACCAAACCAGCCTCACCCGGGTCCCAGGAAGATACCCACACTGAGGGGGAGTGGTCAGGTCAGCCTTAGGGAGGAGGGGACTGGGGGCCTAGAATTCTGAGGGAGGAGGGTTCTGGGAGCCTGGACTCCTGGGTCTGAGGGAGGAGGAGGAGGCTGAGGGCCCCCCCGATAACTGGATCTGGAGGGCTATTGAGTTTGGTGGTTAGGATGCCTGTGTGAGACTGTGCAGAGGGTCACCGGTCTTCCCAGAAGACAGGGGGTCACCTTGCACTGACTAAGCTTCTGCTCGCAGGACAGGACAATGGAGCGGAAGATTCTGAGGACACTGAGGATGAGCTGAGAAGGTAGCATCGGGGCCAGGGGGTCAAGGTGGGCCGGGCCTTGGGTAGAGGGGATTGGTCTGCATACTCTTCCCCACCCCTCTTGGCTCCCCCAGGGTGGCTGAGCAGAAAGAACGAAGGCAGCCCCCTGGCCAGGGGGAGAATGGTGAGGACCCATATGCGGGATCCACAGATGAGAACACTGACAATGAGAGTCCCCCAGAGTCTCCTGACCTGCCAATTCCTGAACTCCCAGGTAGGAAATCCCCCTCCCTCCCTCCTGAAGTGGGATCTGTCCCTCTCAGTTCTCATCTGTGACTTGCTCCAGCTAGCCTAGGATTGCTGCTACCCACCCTGGGACTTGTCTCCTGGTCTCCTCCCGCCACCGCCTGCCTTTGCCACTTCTTCGTTCCCTTAGGCCTGTTCCCTTCCCTCCCCTTCCTGTTCTGTCCCCCATCACAGCCCAGCACCAGGCACTGGTGTGACCACCCGCTTTGGCTCCACTCCAGGTGTGAACAGCGCCTCCCTTACATCAGAGCTTAACCCCCCTAGGCTTCAGGATTACCTGGAAGGCTTTTAAAATCTGCAGATGCCCAGCCTCCCACCCCCACCCCTCAGTTTAGTTTTTGTGTGGGTGGGGCAGTCGAAAAGGAATGAGACCAACCAGATGAAAAGTGGCTGGTTCATCAGTGTCTGACCCGGCCACGCTTATTAAGTGGCAACAGCCCATTTGTGACTTGAGAGAATGAGGGGCTCTCTATGAGGCTCTGGTAGGGAAGGAACTATTTGTCCCTTCTCCCTGGCCCCTCAGTCCTTTGACGGCGATGGCAGGTGCCAGGGAATTGGGAATCATGTAAGAAGCACATTACAATCATTGGAATCGTGTCTTTTACCATTAAAGAAAACAACGAAAACCCAGGCTCTGCTGGGCTGGCTGAGCTGCTTGTCCTCATTGCCCCGTCCGTTCCCTGCCCTCCTGTTTGGCCTCTGTGGCCCCTGGCTGGTGCCTTGGCACTTGAGGGCCTCACCTTGGCTCTTCTACCATCTCCCCAGACTTCTTCCAGGGCAAACACTTCTTCCTGTACGGGGAGTTCCCTGGGGACGAGCGGAGGAAGCTCAGCCGCTATGTCACAGCCTTCAATGGGTCAGTCGCTGGGGGTGGGACTGGGGTGAGGCGGGTGCTGAGTTTTGAGGAGGGATGTGGTAGGTTGTGGGAAGGAGGGCAATTGGGAGGTGGGGAAGGGGTGACCCTGCAGGATGGGCACAGGCCACAGAGTTCAGTGGCAGCCCTGCTGCGTAGCTCCCCCCTGGCTTCCTTCTCTAAAGGGAGGCGCCCGGCCACCCTTCTGAAAGGATTAGTGACAGTGGGAGCTGTCAGTATGGTGGCTGTGGTGAGACTGGCACGTGGGACAGTGGAGGACCACAAGCAGCCTCTCGGGGACATAGGTGGGGATAGGAGAGGATGGTTGGGGAGTGGGGTGTCAGCAGAGGGGACACCGATTCTCAGCCTCTTTTCTTCTCCCGTTAGGGAGCTCGAGGACTATATGAGCGACCGGGTCCAGTTTGTAATCACAGCACAGGAGTGGGACCCCAGCTTTGAGGAGGTGAGTTCAGAGGGGCAGGGAAAGGGAGACCCAAACTGCCCTTCAATCTCCTCTATCCCCTCCTCTCTCACGTGTCCCCTGCCCCGCTGCAGGCCCTGATGGACAATCCCTCCCTGGTGTTTGTCCGCCCGAGATGGATCTACAGTTGTAACGAGAAGCAGAAGTTACTTCCTCACCAGCTCTATGGGGTGGTGCCTCAGGCCTGAAGTATGTGCTTGTGCACACACACACGCGTGCACACACACACACACACACACACACACAAGTTTAATTGTACTGACTTGGTTTGGAGCCACTGCCTCTCACTCAGGAGTTTCCCAGAAATTCTAAGAGGCTCCCCAGCTGTCTTCTGTTTGGTTGGTGCTTCCCCTCTGAGAGGCAGGTCTCTGAGCTGCCTGAGACTCCTGACCTGGGTCCTGGATAGAATGAGGGCTCTCTGAGGGCTCTGGTAGGGAAGGAGCTGTTTGTCACGGCTCGCTGGCCCCTCAGCCCTGTGGCAGCAGGTGCCAGGGAATTGGGAATGACACTGTGACTGTCACATGGTTTCCCATCACCTCATTTGGGAGGTAGAATGGGGGAAGGGCATTTTACTCAATCCACCCAAATCCTGAATCCCCTTCAAGGCTCCACTACACTTAAGGTCGGAGCTGAACTGGGCGTTTAGAGAATCGGGACAGAAGATGGGGTGTCGTTCTAGGCAGGGGCCGTGGCATGGACAAAGGCCCGGAAGTGGGAGCTGCTAGCCTGGTGTCTGGGTAGAGTTGAAAGAGCATTGCCACCCTTGGTGAAGAGGCTGTAGGGGCAGATCTTGCTAGAAAGGTGGGCACAGTCCTTGCAGCTGCAGTGTCCAGTGTGGTAGCCAATGGACACAGGTGGCTATTTAAATTACAATGAAATGAGCCCAAGCCTGTTTGCTCAGTGGTAGGGTCATCGACCCTTGGACAGAAGTGTCTCGGGTTCAATTCCCAGTCAAGGGCATGTACCTCGATTATAGATTCATCCTTGCCCCAGTCCAGGCGCGAGAAGGAGGCAACCGATCGATGTGTCTCTCACATTGATGTTTCTCTGTCTCCCCTTCCTACTCTAAAAGTCAATGGAAAAAAATATCCTTGGATGAGGAGTAAAAAAAATTACAGTGAAATAAAGGGAAAATTCACTTCCTCCTCACACTGGCCCCATTTCAGCGCTCTGGCCACGGCACTGACAGCACAGACATTTCCATCCCCGTGGGAAGCCCAAGCAGGCTGACAGCACCGGACAGAGAATCTTGGACTTTTCCTGGGGGAATGGGGTGGGGAAGGGGTTTGGGCAGCACAAAGGGCTGGGCCATCTGGGTTTGAGATCTGCCCTTTGGGTAATCTTTTCTTGGATGTTCCAAGCCCATTCCCAGCTTTGGACCCATCAACTAACCAAGGGCCACCAATCTTAATCCTTTGTCTTTGTTGACCTTTGCTTTTTCATCTCTGAGGTGAAGGTGGTATTAGATTCTGCAGCCACTCATTCACTTTTCATTCATTCATACATGTACTGACCACTCGCTGTGCTACTTCCTATTGTTGCTGTAACAAATTACTACAAACTTAGTGCCTTAAAACAACAAAAATTTCTACTCTTCTAGGTCTGAAATCTGAAATGGGTCTCACTGGGCTAAGAAGTCACGGTGTAGGTTGGCCCGCATTCCTTCTGGGGCTCCAGGGGGACTGCTTTCTGCGCTTTTCCAGCTTGTAGCAGCTGCTCACATTCCGTCCCCTTCCATAGTCAAAGGCAGCGGAGGCCAGGCAGTCTTTCCCATGCACATCGTCTCTGACACCAGATCTTTTGTCGTATTCTCCCATGTTTAGACTCCGATGACTGTGGAGCCCACATGGACATTCTGGAATAATCTCCTTTTTAAGGTCAGCCAGTTGGCAACCGGAATTCCTTCTGCTGCCTTAAGTCTCCTTTGCCACATTCCATATCCATAGGTTCCAGGGATTAGGATGTGGACATCTTTGGGAGGCCCTTGTTCTGCCTACTATACCAACTGTGAGTGAGACACGGGCTGCAGTGTGAAAAGACAGATACACTTCCTCACTCCTGGGCTGACATTCTGCTGGGGGAGAGACAGTGAGTGTGTGTTGCAGTGTTGGGCAGGGGTAAATGCTGTGAGAGCAGGGAGAGCAGAGCAGGGCTGCACAGAGTGACAGGGCAGGTGGAGGTGTTTAGATAGAGTCATAGGAGAAGGCATCTCAGGGGACGTCCCCTTCTGCAGGGACTTGGGAAAAGGGTCCTGGGGAAACTGGTCCAGGCAGAGGAAAAGCAAGTGCAGAGACCCTCCGGCCGGACCTGTGCAAGGAGCGGCAAGGCATCAGGGTGTCAGGAGACCTGGGATCCACTCTGAATCAGCACTGCCCCCTGCCCTATTTTTTGGTTGCAGACCAGTCATCTTGTAAGATTGGACCAGACTAAATGAGTTTGTGCCCTTGAACCTTTGAGGTGGTGTGGTTGCTACAGAGGAGCTCTTCGCAGACAGGAACTCTATGGATAAAAGTCATGCTGTCAAGTTTGGAGGGGGGACTGGAATCCTTACCTATGCCCAGCCCTGCCGCGCCAAGCCCCCGCCCCCCCGCCCGCCCTCCAGATCTTGCTGAGTAGTCTACAGCTCATTTCCATTTACTTGCTTGATTCTCCCCCTTATGCTGGAGACACCACAAACCATCTCTCAGTCCATCCTTCACACCTTTCAGGTCTCAACTCAAAACATTATCTGCTCAAGAAAGCCTTTCCTGCCCTAGCTGGTTTGGCTGAGTGGATGGAGTGTTGGCCTGGGGACTGAAGGGTCCTAGGTTTGATTGTCAAGGGCATATGCCCGGTTGCTGGCTCGATCCCCAGTAGGGGGCGTGCAGGAGGCAGCCGACCAATGATTTGCTCTCATCACTGATGTTTCTATCTCTCCTTCTCCCTTCCTCTCTGAAATCAATAAAAACATATTAAAAAAAAAAAAAGGCCTTTCCTAACCTCTAGAATAGTATATGTTAGGTATACACTCTTATCATGCTGCATCATATTTCTAACTTGATTTGTTTATGGTCAAACGTACCAGTCTCTTCCTCTATAATTTGATCTTTTTGTGTCGGAAAAATACTTTCTCTACTTCTGAGGTTACTAAGATATTCTCCTATATTTCCATTTAAATTAGTGTTGTGCTTCAAATTTAGATCTTAACTTCCTAGAAACTAGCTTTTGTGTATGGTGTGAAGTAGGGATCTGTATTAGTTTTCTATTGTTGCTGCAACAAATTACCACAAGCTTAATGACTTTAAACAATACACATTTATTTTCTTACAGTTCTAGAGGTCAATAGTCCAAACTCAGTTTCTGGGCCAAAATCATGGTGGCAGCAGGCCAGGGTTCCTTCTAGAGGCTCTAACGGAAAATAATTTTCTTGACTTTTCTAGCCTCTAGAAGCTGCCAAGTTCCTTGACTCGTGGCCCTGCATCACTCAATCTCTGCTTCCATTGTCGCATCTGCTCTGACTTCTATTTCCCTCTTCCCCATATAAGGACCCTTGTGACTACATTGTGCTCACAAATAATCAGGATATTCCCATCTCAAAATCCTTACATCTGCAAAGTCCATTCTGCCATGTGTAAGCTAACATATAGGTGCTAGGGGTTAGGATGGGGACAACTTTGGGGGACCATTATTCTGCCCATCACAGGGTCCCTCCCATTTCATTTTTCCCCACCTCAGCTAACTCACAGATTAGCTTGTCCTTTCCCCACTCATCTACAGCAGGGGTCGGCAAATTGCCGTCCATAGGCAAAATCCAGCCCACTTGCTGATTTTGAAATAAAGTTTTATTGGAACCCAGCCACAAATTCATTACAGTGTCATGAGTGTGGCTGCTTTTACAACAGCAGAGTTGAGTAGTCATGGCAGACACCGTATGGCCTGCAAAACCTAAAAATATATACCATCTGGCCCTTTACAGGAAGCTTGCCAACCCCTGATCTCCAGGTGGGGGCTGTCACATGTCAGGACCAAGGCTCCCCTACTTGTTCTTCAAAATGGACTTAAGCTTCTTTACTTTTATTTTTTGCCACTACTTGACTAGTGACCCCTCTCCTCACTAAACCAGGTCTGTCTTATTTCCTGCTGTATTCCTAATACCCTATTCAGGTCCTAGCACACAGTAGGTGCTTAATGTGTAGGATGAAGAGCAGTCCAATGTTAGCTCACTCATCTGATTTTACAGTGAGAGAAACTGGCTCTAAGAAGGGAACTGACTTGCCCAAGATGATGATGCTTGCACCCTTACAAGGGCCTTATAACACTCCCATTTTATAGATCAGGTATCTGAGTCCAGAGAAGTGCCAAAGGTTGTCCAAGGCCCCTCGGCTCATACGCAGTCCTAGCCAAAGCTAGGACTTTACCTACTATCAGCAGTATGCCCCTTGTTCTGGCTTTTATCACTTATATCCTGGGAATCTTTCCACACTGGTACAATTGAGCTGGTTTCTCCCCCTACAGCTACATCTTCCATTCTACGGCTGTATTGTAATTAATTAGCTGGTCTCGACTGATGAACACTTGGGTTGTTTTCCATCTTTGGGCACAACCATAATGCTGTAGCGAACATCCTTGTCCTTATGCCTTGTTCACATGCTGGAGTTTATAGGATACATTCTTGGAAGCGGAATAGCTGACACGAGCAGGTGTGCATTTAAGTATTTCATAGGTACAGCCAAATGGCCAAAATGGAAGCACCAATGTAACTTACAACAACAGGAGAGAGCCTGTTTTCCCACACTCCCCACCACCCCACAATGCTAGCAGACTTTGTACCTTTGCCAAATGAATAGTCAGGAAAAACCAGAGACAGTTCTTTCCCACCACAGCTCCAGGTCCATGGTTTGGGGCCAGTTAACTCTCTGTGGTTGATACATTCCCTCCCCTTCCCCAAAGTGGGTGAGCAAAGAGTGCTTCCACCTTTTAAGTTAGAACCCAGTATGTACGTACTGTATATAGGAGGGGCCAACCTCCCTGCCAGCTACAAGAGGCAAGCCTGGTTTAGAAATGCCACCTCTGCGTTTACTGGAGCTGGCGGCAGAGGGGGCCGGTGAGCCAAGGGCAGGGCTCACTCCCGCTCCCCCTGACTCTCAGCCTGGTGGTGGCTGCGTTGGTGAAGGAGCAGGAGGCGCCTCTGGCCAAAGGCCTGGCCGCAGCTGGAGCAGCGATGTCGTCGGGCGGTGGCCTGGCTGCTCGGCGCGGTGGGGGGTTCATGGCATAGGCGGTGGGCAGCCAGTTTGGAGGGGAATGAAAAAGCCTTGGGGCAGTGCGGACAAGGATAGGGGCGGGCATCCGTGGCATGGTGCGTGTGTCGGTGGGCAGCCAGTTTGGAGGGGTAGCAGAAGGACTTGGAGCAGTCAGGGCACGGGTAGGGGCGGGCGGGCGCGTGGGTCCAGAGGTGGGCTGCCAGCTTGGAGCGGTGGCCAAAGGCCTTTGGGCAGTGCGGGCAC